AATTTCAATTTTGTTTTTTATGCCTCTCACTTTAAACCGTTGCTGTTGTTGCGAAAGATTGGATCTATAAGGCCGCTGTTCTTGTGATAGTAGGTATTCTGTTATCTGAATGTGATACGGAAAACTCGCCTCTCTCTAGAGCAATAAATAACAAGTAACGGGATTATAAATCATGCTGCTATAAAACACATGCACGACTTGTTTAATGCGGCACTATTCACAATCAAAGACTGACCAACCCAAATGCATCTCAATGGCAGACTGAATTTACAGAAAATATGGCACATATACTGAATACTATGCTAGCTAAAAAATTTGTGTCTTTGTAGGGACATGGAGAAGCTGGAAACCGATCATTTTCAGCAAACTTCACAAGAACAGATAAACCATAACAAATTGTTCTCACTGATGGTGGAACTGATACAATTTGAGAACACTTTGGACACAGGAAGGGTGACATCCACAGGGCTTTGTGGGGTGGGGAGTGAAGGGGGAGGGGTAGCATTTGGAGATACCTAATGTAAATGAGCCGTTAATGGGGTGGATGCTCGGACATCCCACATGCACAATTAATAACATGTAACAACGCTGATGTGGCACAGACCTCCTACACTTAAGTATATGAAAGAGAAAAATTACTAAGAGTCAAACAGACTGGAGCTGTCACCACTGTATCTACTACAGAAGAGCAACACTGCCCCGCCAGCCGCCTTAACATCCTAGACTGCCACCCCGCTCTTTCTGCGGCAACTGGCGGACTTCGGATATTAGTCGCTCGAACAGAAGGGCTCTCACTTCCCGCGCAGCTTTAGGACGACTGTCTGTTACACTGATGTGGTCTAGAGCTGAGGGGGCTGCTGAAAGAGGTTTGGCTTCATAACATGACTGATAAGTATGCCTCCTTCTATAGGAGACTATAAGAAGCAAGGCATGTAATATTGATCAATCAGCCATTAAATGTTCAGCCAAAAGGTACAATGAGAATAAAGGAGTTTAATTTATATGTTACAAACACACATCAGCACTCACACTATTAGTCTTGTAATCAGGCTCAATGAAACTCCAACACTTATTTTGCATCTGTTTTCTTTTTCTAAGTCATGATAATGTAGATGTTCTGGTCCTCATAAAATGAGTATGTACATTTCAGCATCTCGATAGTGACTGGCAACATATAGGCAAATTTTGTATTATACATTACATCTAATTTTCGTTTGTAAATGTGTGATTGACATGCGGTTCAAATTATTGTTGCACTGCTTTTTATGTGACCTTGTAGTCTCCCAAAACCTAGTATAAAGGCTGCTTTTCTTGTGATAGCCTTTC